TTCTATTCATAGGAATCTATCCTAAAAAATGTTGTCGGCATTAAATAACCCATTGAGGTTGATATGCCGTAAAACAAAACAAACCAAACCAATCTAAACCAAAAGAATACGTCCTAAAAATTCTAAATTCATACGGATATATTCAAACCAATCTAAACCAAAAATACATATTTATTCATAAGAATCTATTAAATTAAATCCATTGAGGTTGATATGCCAAAAAAATAAACCAAAAATAAACCAAAAACCAAATAGAATCCTAAAAACCAAAGAATAAACCAAAGAATATTCTATTCATAAGAATCTATCCTAAAAAAATGTTGTCGGCATTAAATAACCCATTGAGGTTGATATGCCGTAAAACAAAATAAACCAAACCAATCTAAACCAAAGAATACATATTCTATTCATAGGAATCTATCCTAAAAATGTTGTCGGCATTAAATAACCCATTGAGGTTGATATGCCGTAAAAAAAAAAAAAAACAAAATAAACCAAACCAATCTAAACCAAAGAATACATATTCTATTCATAAGAATCTATCCTAAAAATGTTGTCGGCGGCATTAAATAACCCATTGAGGTTGATATGCCGTAAAACAAAATAAACCAAACCAATCTAAACCAAAGAATACATATTCTATTCATAGGAATCTATCCTAAAAATGTTGTCGGCATTAAATAACACATTGAGATTGATATGCCGTAAAACAAAATAAACCAAACCAATCGAAACCAAAGAATACATATTCTATTCCATACGGATCGATCCTAAAAATGTTGTTGGCATTAAATAACCCATTGAGGTTGATATGCCGTTAAACAAAATAAACCAAACCAATCTAAACCAAAGAATACATATTCTATTCATAAGAATCTATCCTAAAAATGTTGTCGGCATTAAATAACCCATTGAGGTTGATATGCCGTAAAACAAAATAAACCAAACCAATCTAAACCAAAGAATACATATTCTATTCATAGGAATCTATCCTAAAAATGTTGTCGGCATTAAATAACCCATTGAGGTTGATATGCCGTAAAACAAAATTAACCAAACCAATCTAAACCAAAGAATACATATTCTATTCATAGGAATCTATCCTAAAAATGTTGTCGGCATTAAATAACCCATTGAGGTTGATATGCCGTAAAACAAAACAAACCAAACCAATCTAAACCAAAGAATACATATTCTATTCATACGGATATATTCTAAAAATCTTTTCGGCATTAAATAATCCATTGAGGTTGATATGCCGTAAAACAAAATAAACCAAACCAATCTAAACCAAAGAATACATATTCTATTCATAAGAATCTATCCTAAAAATGTTGTCGGCATTAAATAACCCATTGAGGTTGATATGCCGTAAAACAAAATAAACCAAACCAATCTAAACCAAAGAATACATATTCTATTCATAGGAATCTATCCTAAAAATGTTGTCGGCATTAAATAACCCATTGAGGTTGATATGCCGTAAAACAAAATAAACCAAACCAATCTAAACCAAAGAATACATATTCTATTCATAGGAATCTATCCTAAAAATGTTGTCGGCATTAAATAACCCATTGAGGTTGATATGCCAAAAACAAAATTAACCAAACCAATCTAAACCAAAGAATACATATTCTATTCATAGGAATCTATCCTAAAAATGTTGTCGGCATTAAATAACCCATTGAGGTTGATATGCCGTAAAACAAAACAAACCAAACCAATCTAAACCAAAGAATACGTATTCTATTCATACGGATATATTCTAAAAATCTTTTCGGCATTAAATAATCCATTGAGGTTGATATGCCATAAAACAAAATAAACCCAATTAAACCAAAGAATACATATTCTATTCATACGGATATATAGAAATCTTTTGCATTAAATAATCCATTGAGGTTGATAAAACAAAATAAACCAAACCAATCTAAACCAAAGAATACATATTCTATTCATACGAATCTATCCTAAAATGTTGTCGTCATTAAATAACGCATTGAGGTTGATATGCCGTAAAACAAAATAAACCAAACCAATCTAAAGCATAGAATACATATTCTATTCATAAGAATCTATCCTAAAATGTTGTCGGCATTAGATAACCCATTGAGGTTGATATGCCGTAAAACAAAATAAACCAAACCAAACTAAACCAAAGAATACATATTCTATTCATACGAATCTATCCTAAAAATGTTGTCGGCATTAAATAACCCATTGAGGTTGATATAACCAAACCAATCTAAACCGTAAAACAAAATTAACCAAACCCATTGAGGTTGATATGCCGTAAAACAAAATCAAAACTAAAAGAATACATATTCTATTCATAGGAATCTATCCTAAAATGTTGTCGGCATTAAATAACCATTGAGATTGATATGCCGTAAAACAAAATAAACCAAACCAATCGAAACCAAAAGAATACATATTCTATTTGATAAAAATGTTGGCATTAAATAACCCATTGAGGTTGATATGCCGTTAAACAAAATAAACCAAACCAATCTAAACCAAAGAATACATATTCTATTCATAAGAATATATTCTAAAAATGTTTTCGGCATTAAATAACCCATTGAGGTTGATGATAAAATAAACCAAACCAATCTAAACAAAGAATACATATTCTATTCAAATCCTAAAAATCGGCATTAAAAACCCATTGAGGTTGAATAAAAAATTAACCAAACCAATTCAAACCAAAGAATATCTATTCATAGAAATCCTAAAAATGTTGTCGGCATTAAATAATCCATTGAGGTTGATATGCCATAAAACAAAATAAACCAAACCAATCTAAACCAAAGAATACATATTCTATTCATACGGATATATTCTAGAAATCTTTTCGGCATTAAATAATCCATTGAGGTTGATATGCCATAAAACAAAATAAACCAAACCAATCTAAACCAAAGAATACATATTCTATTCATAAGAATCTATCCTAAAAATGTTGTCGGCATTAAATAACCCATTGAGGTTGATATGCCGTAAAACAAAATAAACCAAACCAATCTAAACCAAAGAATACATATTCTATTCATAAGAATCTATCCTAAAATGTTGTCGTCATTAAATAACGCATTGAGGTTGATATGCCGTAAAACAAAATAAACCAAACCAATCTAAACCAAAGAATACATATTCGGAATCTATTAAAAATGTTGTCGGCATTAAATAACCCATTGAGGTTGATATGCCGTAAAACAAAAAATAAACCAAACCAAAAGAATACAATTCTATTCAATCCTAAAAATGTTGTCGGCATTAAATAACCCATTGATATTCTATTAAACCAAAGAATCTATTCTATTCATACGGATATATTCTAAAAATCTTTTTCGGCATTAAATAACCCATTGAGGTTGATATGCCATAAAACAAAATAAAAAAAAAATCTAAACGAAACATATTCTATTCATACGGATATATTATAGAAATCTTTTGGCATTAAATAAGATTGAGGTTGATATAATAACAGAAAATAAACCAAACCAATTAAACCAAAGAATACTTATTCTATTTGAAGGCTTCCAAAACTGAATAACCCATTTTCTAAAAATATATTTGGTTTCTATTTTATTTTAAAAACGGCATTAAATAATCAACGTAAAACAAAATAAACCTCAATCAACCAAAGGGTTATTCTTTCCTAAAAATATTAAATCATTGAGGATTTTTATTGTTGATACTGAATCTTTCTATATATTTATCTATCTATCTATCTATCAAGATTTTATTGTTGATACTATTTCTATCTATCTATCTATCTATCTATCTATCTATCTATCTCAGTATATATGGGTTTGGTTTATTTTGTTTTAAGTCATATCAACCTCAATGGGTTATTTAATGCCGACAAGATTTTTAGGATAGATTCCTATGAATAGAATATGTATTCTTTGGTTTAGATTGGTTTGTTTTATTTTGTTTTATGGCATATCAACCTCAGTGGGTTATTTAATGCCGGCAACATTTTTTAGAAAGATTCCTATGAAGAGAATATGTATTCTTAGGTTTAGATTGGTTTGGTTTATTTTGTTTTACTGCATATCAACCTCAATGGGTTATTTAATGCCGACATTTTTATTGCTAGTAATATTTTTTTCCAAAAATGTATTTCTGGTAATATTTGTTCAAAAACAGTATTGCTGGTAATAATATGTCCTGGTAATAATTTTTTTCTTTATAAATTCATTGCTAGTAATAATTTTTTCCAAAAATGTTTTGCTGGTATTAAAAGCTATTTTTACACGATTTAACCCCAGTTTGCGGGTTAGCTATTTGCCCATAGCTGTTTAGTCCTGGGAACGACATCAATTATAAGGTGGTTACACGTTTCTCAAAAACTTTCTGATTAAAGACCCTGCTGCCGGATGTCGTTTATCGTCTTACCCAGGACATGCATGTAGTTTATCCTAATAGCCAGAACGTTTCTATATATTTGTTTCAATTATATAAATATGTAGTATTTTATGGGATGTGGGATCAGTTTATTACTTAATAATAATAATATAAAATTAATCCCCTACTTTATGTCCAGTAGAATCTTTTTATTAATGCAGGGTTCTTGATTTATGAAACAGGTCTGTTCCTACGATGTTTCATACCGTGATTTTCCATGTAAGTCGAAATGTAACCACAGTAATAAAGTAATCATCTAGGACATAACACATTCTCTATGACATATCTTAACATGATTAGGACTACAAAACACGTGGCGGATATAAATATAATACATTCTAATTATTTTAAGCTGCTTATATATTTATTGCCAGTGATGTCATTATCCCTTGGTAGATGAGTCAACGGGAGGTAAATCTTGTATGGGAATCAACAGTAAACCTGGGGAAGAAACATGAGTTTGTTTTTGTTTTTCTTTTTTTTAGCAGGAATCAGCAACTTAAAGTCGAAACAAGATTGCGTCGTAACCACGAATTCTCGTAGGTCGAGACTATCGTAACACGGGGACAATGTATAACGCCGTTTTAGAAAGAAGAAAAGGATATAAAAAGAAAAGAAAAACTAACAAAAAGAAAGAAAGCGTTTAAAAGTTGGAAGGAAGGAAGGGAGGAAGGAAGGAAGGAAGGAGGGAGGGGAAGGAAGGAAGGAAGGAAGGAAGGAGGAAGGGAGGGGGAAGGAAGGAAAGGAGGAAGGAAGGAAGGAAGGAAGGAGGGGAAGGAAGGAAGGAAGGAGGGAGGAAGGAAGGAAGGAAGAAAGAAAGTAAGGGAGGAAGGAAGGAAGGAATGGAGGGAGGAAGGAAGGAAGGAAGGAAGGAAGGAATGGAGGGAGGAAAGAAGGAAAGGTAGTATCTGTAAAAAGAAAAAGAAAGGAACGAAAGAAGGAAGAATTAGAGAATGAAGGGGAGGAGCTAAAGAAAAAGAAATATAAAAAAGAAGCAAGGAAAGGAAAGAGTTGGAAGGAAGGAATGAAGAAGGAAGGAAGAAAGGAAGGAATGGAGGTAGGGAGGAAGGAAGGAAGGAAAGAAAGAAGAAAGGAAGGAAGGAAGGGAGGGTGGAATGAAGGAAGGAAGGAAGAAAGAAAAAAAGAAAGGGAGGGAGAAAGGAAGGAAGGAAGGAAGGAAGGGAGGGGGGAGGGAGGGAGGGAGGAAGAAAGTAAGGAAGGAAGGGAGGAACAAAGGAAGGGAGGGAGGAAGGAAGGAAGGAAGGTAGGAAGGGTAGGAGCGGAACAAAAAGAAATGAAAAAGAATAGACATTGAAAGAAGGAAAAAGAAAGAAAATTAAAACTGAATGAAGAAAACAAACTTAAAAAAAGAAAACAACTAAAAACTAAAAATAAGCAAATTTTGCTCACATAAAAAAAGAAAAAAATATAGAAAGAAAAAGAAAGAAGTAACGGCAAAGAAAACTGCTAAAAAGCAGTAGAAAAGAAAAGAAGTTAAAGAAAAGAATCGTGAAGAAGAAGAAAAGAAAGCCCCAAAAATTTGATTTTAGCCGAAAGACGACAAGCCTCAAGAAAGGAACAAATGAAGAATAAGGAAGATATCTTTAAATATGAGATGGCGTCTCTGTAGGTAAGAATTTTGAATAGTCAAAATATATAAATACAAAATGGCGTTCGTTGAGACCGCGAGTTTTAATCGGCAAAGCGGAAATCTTGCAGCCATTGAAAATTTTCCATTGCTTCTAATATAAACGCCCTATATTGACAATAATTCACAAAGAAAAGAAAAAAGGGTGTCATTGTTTCTCTAGTTAAACAATAAAGAGCTAATGCTACAAGAAGTAAGAAAGAAAATGGTGAAGAGAGAAAGAAAATGTCGGCGAGTGGAAGAAAATGTCGGCGAGTAAAAGAAAATGGCGGAGAGAGGGAAAATGGCGGAGAGAGAAAGAAAATGGCGGAGAGAAGGAGAAAATGGCGGAAAGAGAAAGAAAATGGCGGAGAGTGGAAGAAAATGTCGGCGAGTAAAAGAAAATGGCGGAGAGAAGGAGAAAATGGCGGAGAGAGGGAAAATGGCTGAGAGAGAAATAAAATAGTGGAGTAAGAAAGAAAATGGCGAAGAGAGAAAGAAAATGGTGGCCAAGGGAAGAAAATGTTGGCAAGTGGAAGAAAATGGCGGAGAGAAAAATAAAATAGCGGAGTGAGAAAGAAAATGGTAGTTAGAGAGAAAATTGTGGAGTAAGAAACAAAATGGCGGAGAGAGTAAGAAAATGGCGAAGAAAGCGAAAATGGCGGAGAGAGAAAGAAAGAAAATGGCAGGGAGAGGAAGACAGACAGAAAGAAATATTGGTAGAGGGAGGAAATGGCGGGGAGAGAAAGAAAATGTAGGAGTCAGAAAGAAGAACGCGTAGAGAGAAAGAAAATGGCGTAGAGAGGGAGAAAATGTTGAAGAGAGAAAGAAAATGGCGGAGTGTGAAATAAAATGCCAGAGTGAGAAAATACAATGGCGAAGATAGAAAGAAAATGGCGAAGATAGAAAGAAAATGGTAATCAAACAGCGGTAAGAATTACATTGAATTATATGAATGAAAAGTAATCGGACCGCCATTAAAAATATTTATAACTGCAATAATAGCGAAGAAAGAAATCATATTAACTGTCATATTCTCATGAAGGCATAATAAGAGTTGTATGATCGCGCGCAAAGAGCAAAAGGAAAAAAAATTATAGCGGTTATAAAATAAACATCAACAAAAATATGGCAGAGAGTGAAATAGTGAAACTCTTATATTTATACAGAAAATCACAGAAGTAAATGAAGGAAATTACGAAATTGGCTGCGCAGAGAACATCTGAAAAGAAAAAAAATACTAACTACTGTATTTGACGGCATATAAGGGGTACTTCTTTTTTTTTTTTTACTAAAAATATCTTTTAAAATCCTCCTGCGTCTTATATGCCATATGTAGGTTTAAAATTCGTGATAGTCGGCCGAAATTAGCTACCTGGAAATTCCTATTAGCTTAGACTTTAGAATAACTTTTATATACCTATTGTCATTATTATTATTTGTAAAATATATTTGTTTCGTTAATATTTTTCTTGCGATAACTTCCGGCTGCAAATAATACAATCAGAATTTTTATATCCTAATTATTCCATTAAGACATTTACAAGACGTAGGTTGTACAGATCATATAAAGGAAAAGTTTTGACTGAATTTTAATGGTAACTGTACTGTTTTGCTCAATTGTAATAATTGCTTGATTTTTATTTTGTTTTCTTACCTTTGGATATAATAAAGTTTTTTTTTATAGGCTCGTGTTTTTTTCCTATTATTTTTCGTTTAATTGTAATCATGGCTTGTTTATACCAAAATAATACCTTATAAGGATAGCCTAGGCTCTACCATTTAATAATAATTTTACTAATTACTAATTTTTTCTTGATTTTGCCCTGCTGAAATTGGGGTGCGTCTTATATGACGACAAATACGCAGCAATAAATCAAATCCATCAACACTATCAGTTTAAAGTTCTGATAGGTTTGTTTTTTACGGTTTATCAACCCTATTGCTGCTATAACTACCACTGCGGGTTATTTAAAGCCAGGCAATATTTTTAGATTGTAAGAACCTTCGGGAGATAATAATGATAATACAAGTCCTAGTAATTAACCCATAGATGGGGGAGAAGATATTTCCAAGTATATTTGCGTGTAAGGGGATATAAAGATCTCGACTGGAATTGAACTCGGCTCTTCGATTAAGGATTCCGAGCCGTTATCCATTACACCACCCGCACACACGGGCTTACATCGTCTGGTATTTCCAAGCGGTCACCCATCTAGTTAGTGATCAGACCCAACGTTGCTTAACTTGGAGGATCGGACGACAACCGATGTTTCAACGTGATGTGGCCGTAAGCATAATAAAAGAAATATAAAAAGGGGGAAAAACGAAAGAAAATCTTCAGTGATTGATTTTCGTTTTTACGGCTTATCAACCCTATGCAGGTAATTTAAAGCCAGAAAATATTTTGAGATTGCAAGATTTAGTGATACCAATCTTAGTTTTGGTGGGTGGGGACTCATACCTTATTAGAATTTGATAAACAGGGAATTATAATGTGGCTATAAAGTGGGGGATAGATTCTATTTTACAATCAATATGTAGATTGATACCCCATTTTATGGTCATGGTAATTTCTATACATTTATATTCCAGAGAATGGAAATAAATCCAAAGACATGCCTGTGTAGCTCATTTGATTTTTACGGCTTATCAACCCTTTGCAGGTTATTTAAAGCCAGAAAATATTAGATAGTAAGAATGTTTCGGCGATAATAATGGTTTAGTGATACAAGTCTTACTAACTAAACCCGAGAAGAAAATCGATACCCGAAAGAAAAACAAAGGTCAAAAATGCATTTAACGTTCGGGGAAGTCATAAAACGATGACAAAGCCAAGAATATTCGGGAAGAAAAATACGAAGGGAAACTGTAATAGGAAATATATATATATATATATATATATATATATATATATACTAATAATAATACTCGTTTGGAAAAAAAAACTCAGATATCTCAACATGTATTGTACCTAGACTTGGGAAAGGTATGAATCCTCTTCTTCTCCACCCAGCTATGGGTAAATAGCAAGACACGCCGGGTTCTATAGCCTTGGATGGCAGCTGGTCTACCGCAGAAAGAAATGGCAACCTACTGCGAGGAAAAAATTACCGAAAGATACATGATCGGCTAAACGTGTATCACGCATGTTACATAACTGACTGAACTCATTTCTAGCGGTCCAGTAACTCTGAGCAAATGGCGTCTGGAGTTCCAAAGTTCTAAGGCGAGGACCAGGACTAAGCGTGTCTAACTCCATCGGTGGAAAAAAAACGGATAATGATTACAATAGTTCTCAACGATTGAACCAGTGGATGAAGAGGGCTACGCGTGATGGACATGCTACAGAAGGCGGCAGTCGAAATTTTAACAGTGTCAGCAGGAGTACGTTGCAGTTTCATAACTTGATCTCTCATTGCATATGGAAGGCCATGAAATTAACAATGGCGGTTACACCATTGGCACCTTTTACTGCTTTGATTTTCTATAACATCCAACCTGATGGAGCTCAAAGTTTTCCTTCTGATTTTACAAAGCTATAGGACCCAATCCTATTTTATCCCTGGGATGGAGGATTCAAACAACCGTTCTTAGGTTTTGAAATCAGTTTTTTCCTTCTCATAGATGGGTTGCCCCTACAAAGCTATAGGACCCAATCAGTCTTGCTATTTTATCCATAGCTTGGGGTGGAGGATTGCAAACAACCGTTCTTAGGTTTTGAAATCAGAGTTTTCCTTCTCATAGATGGGTTGCCCCTACAAAGCTATAGGTCCCAGTCTGTCTTGATATTTTATCCATAGCTTGCGGTAGGGATTAGCAAACAACCATCTTTAGGTTTTGAAATCAGAGTTTTCCTTCTCATAGATGGGTTGTCACCCAAGGCTATAATACCCAAACTGTCCTAGGAGTTTCAATGCGAATTTTGTATTCACACGCAGTCCCCAGTCAAATGCACACGCACATTTTAGTGTAATGCAAGTAACTCGTTTCCTGGATAAGCTAGCTTGACTGGGCCCCACCGTCTTAGGAGGATGTCTTTCTTCTAGACTGTTTGCCACGCACGTCTATCCTACTATTTTACCCATAGCTTGGGAGAGTAGAAGAGTTGAATTCATACATTTCCCAAGGGTATTAGCACGTAAGTGAATGTAATGGATTCGACTGGAAAGACAGCTAGTCAGTTACGTGCCATGCGTGATACACGCTTAGGCGATCATGAATCTTTCGATACATGACTTACATTGCAGATTTTTTCCCGCAGTAGGTTGCCATTTCTTTCTGCGGTAGACCAGTTGCTATCCAAGGCTATAGAACCCAGTCTGTCTTGCTATTTTATGCATAGCTTGGGGTGGAGGTTTGCAAATAACCGTCCTCAGGTTTTGAAATCAGAGTTTTCCTTCTCATAGATGGGTTGCACCTACAAAGCTATAAGACCCAGTCTGGAAAGTCAGCCAGTCAGTTATATTCCATGCGTGATACACGCTTAGGCGATCATGTATCTTTCGATACATGACTTACAGTGCAGATTTTTTTCCCGCAGTAGGTTGCCATTTCTTTCTCCGGTAGACCAGTTGCCATCCAAGGCTATAGAACTCGGTCTGTCCTGATAATTAACCATAGCTGTGTGGAGAAGACGAGGATTCATACCTTTCTCAAGGGTATTAGCACGCATGTCAATGCAATGAACTCACTGAAATTCAAACCCGACTCACCGATTCCTTAATCCGAGGCCCTAGCCGTTTTTCTGGATAGATTCCAAAAGCGTCTCTGCGTCCTTGTGGGTGACAAGTTATTTTCCACCCTGCAACTCCTACATTGTTTACATTATTCGGACTATTGTCCTCATCTTTGTCGCCATATTTATTACAACGTTTCAGCCGTTGTACGCTCCAGCTTGAGGACACATGGCACAGTGGATAAAAAGCTTTGGTGGAATCCAGTGACAGCACCCAAAGAGTGTGAGTTCAAAACCCGGTTAAGGCAGTGGAGAACTTTCAGAGGGAAATTAACAGGAGATAACTGATAACTGACATCCATTAAACATGGCACATGGAACTAGAACAGTCTACCCCAGTAAGCCAAATAAAGGGTTCATTTCGACATTCCAACCACCTGAAGAAGGACAGAGCGTACATCGGCCGAAACGTTGTAATAAATATGGCGACAAACATGAGGACAATAGTCCGAATAATGTAAATAGTGTACATAATACCTCATCTCAGAAATATAGACAGATACTGAAAGGCCGAAACGTTGTCATAAATATGGCGACAAAGATGAGGACAATAGTCCGAATAATGTAAATAGTGTACATAACACCTCATCTCAGAAATGTAGACAGATACTGCAACTTCTCTCTCACAGACGGGAAGTCTAAAACCCCTCACAGCACTATCGCTATTTGCAATGTGCCTCGACAAGGGTGACATATTGGAATAGAAATATAGTTTTTCAGGAAAGAAATTCGACCAGCTTTCTGTGGATAACAACTCTCCTTCTCAAGTTGTAAACACAATTATGAAGTTAATTGAATTTGTTACACATATTCTGTTCGTATCTGCCAGGCCTGTCAGTTTTGATATATCAATAGATGTAGTGTTTGGCATTATACTTATCGACACAGACAATGGACTATGAGACCATAGACGTTAGCAATCACTTTGTACTATCCTTCTTTGAAAGGGCAACAATCCATCTCGTCTCATCTTGTCAAAGATATATATATATATCTATAAATGACAATAGGAAAACTGTAGTAGTTGCCGACGTGTTTCGTCCAATGTTGACTTTCTCAAGGCAAAAAACGAAATGAATTTATTTTAACAAAGTAACTAATAATAACAAAAAACAAAATGTCCTGAGCAACTGGAAGAATTTAGAGAACGCTATTTTCATACTGTTAACTGAAAATTACATCAATTACTGTCACGTGTGGAGATATTATTTTTATTGCTGTGTTAACGGATTCAACCATT